TGGGGGACCTGATAGGAGGCATCGCAGCCCCCCTCCCCACTACACCCACACCTCCATTCAAAAGTGGTTCCAACTAGTGAATCCCCAAACACACAATGGGCACAGCCATTTTACATCTCATCCGAGCCTGAGATGCCACAACCATTAAAGAAAAAAAACCAAACCAATGCTTCCAAGCTTTCACGCTTCCGATGCAGTATTTCTCGAGCATGTTTGTTGGCATCTTGCTACCCCTCATGATCTCCCCACAAGCCTTCCTGCATTGTGGCAAGGCGTTTCCCTGCTTTCCCCTCCACAAACCGCCTACCTCCGAGACATTAATCCTCTTCCCAGCGTTTTTGGCTTCAAACCACCTGATCCAGCTCAAATGCACGGGGCCCAGGTTTTGCGTAGAGCCAGCAAAAAACCTCCTGTCTCCATTGAAAATGTACACTTGTTCCTTCAACGCCCTTATTATTAATTGCTATAAAACTTAATTTTATTCATCATTTGTTATGCCTCAAAATTGGATGGGAAAAAAATTCAAATTAAGTGAAGTGAAAAGATTTCAGAGATGGTACAGAAGGCTCCTGAAGGAGCTGAAGAAAACTCTCCGGAGACTGAGAACGCAGCGCTAACCCAACCTGAAAGAAAGAAGATCTTAAGACAAAGAAATCTTGCCAAATTGATCCTTTAATTATAACATTAGTCGTTTCTTTCAAAGGCTTAGTGCAAGAGCTGGGGGTGGGGGGCAGAAAAGACTTAAAGGGAGAAAAGACTTAACAACACCAGGATGAGTGGAAGCAATTAGGAGGATTTAAATTACTCTCTTGTTTGGTACAAGGCAGATGGATTTCATTTTTCTTGCCATCGTGCTCAACTTCTTGCTCTGCCATCAGCTTCCAGAGGTCTTCTCCTTGGCAGACCCGAGGACGTAGCCTTCCCAGGTCAGGCAGCATCCCCTTCCACTCTGCACCCACTCAGCTATTGCTGCGGACCACGAATACCGGTGATTATGGCAGCTTTGTCACCCTGGAAAGAGGCTGGAAGTATGAGACTGGATAGGGGAAAGGAGTCTACCAGCCCTCAACAGGAGGACAGATGCTGCAATGAATGGAGGAGGGCGATTACAAACCATGTTTTCTCTGCAGGGGCTGGGGAAAGGGAGATGGAAAAGAGTCAAAACACAGCCTGTCTGGTATCAGAAACTCCACATGAGTCCTCAATGTTATACCTCCAAGCATGGCTTATTTTTTATCTTCACTCTTTCATCTTCTTGCTCCCAGCAACAAGCTAGACATAAGCCATCTTCTTGCCAGGAGGGGCAAAGCAGGCAGGACCTCTGCAGTAGCTAGGACATGACCAGTGATGAGCTGTGGTCATTACTGGGATGGCATTACTGCCACTGCAGCACCACGCATGCCACAGGCGGCAGGGACGGGGCAGCGTGGCTCTCACCCGGTCTCTGCTGCTCTGGAGATGCAGCCCAAACACAGAGATCCAAATTGTTTTACATGAGAAACAGCTGAGCCAAAAAACAAAAGCCCATTTCACAAAGAAGGGAGAGCAGACCTTTGCAAATCTCCAGCACGGGGCACATGCAACTTCTGCATCCCCCTGACTTGGAGCCGACCGACCGCAGGGCACCGTCCGCAACAGGCCATCAGCTGCAGGGCAGGAGGAGGTCCCGTCCACCCCTCCTAACTCCTCCTGCAGCATGCAATTCTCTCTCTGCACTACAGCGGTTCTCCCTGAGAAGAGGTGCAGAGCTGCAGGTGCACCCTGCCACACCGCAGCAGGGTGCTGGATGACACCAACCTCAGGCCAAAAGACGGCAGCAGGCAACACTTGATATGAGTCTCAGCATCTTCCCAAGCTCCCAAATCCACCGGCTGCCACGCGGCAGAAAACAGGGCATTTCAGCTGATGCTCCATCCTTGCTCGCTCCCACTGACTCTCTTCTGCCAGGATTATTTCGGTAGCTTGTGTAGCTGAACAGTCACATCTCCTCGGGCTTCATACCTGCTCTCAAAGAGGAACAGGGCCAATTTTTTTTTTCTTCCCTGCTTTCAGTTAGAATTAATTGATCCGTAATTGCACCCATAGAGGTGGAAAGTTAATAGACACAGTAAAACATGCCAAAGCCCCAGAAGAACTGGCTCTCCAAGCCCCTGCCTGGAGTGACTCCATCTCCTCTTAACAGCGTTGCATGCAATCCCAGTGCATGTGTGCGTGTTAGTATTTAGAGAGAAAAATCAAGGAGTCTCGTTATGATGGAAATAATTTCTTTTCCTCTCCCACATACTTTGTGCTTAGGAGCAGATGGATCCAGGCTGTTTACATCACGGAGGTCATGCCTCAGCTTAACAGTTGGGGAACTGACTGTTGGGAGAGATGCGCATCACAACCAGAAGATTGCTAAATCTGGGCTCCGGCAAACTTCTGATGGTGGCAAGTTAAACATACAAATGTCCTCCTGCAGCCTCTTCACATTCAGGACCTGCCTCGAGTGTTTGTTTCCTCAAAGAAAACCGCTGCTGAGATGAAGAGAGGCAGAGAGGCAGCTCTGCAGCAGCTTGTGAGCATGAACTTCGAGAAGAAGCCTGGAAATCCTGAGCAGACCCTGTTATTCTCCGGTGCAGATGGTGCAGTTTGCAGACAACGTGGGTCCAGGTTTCTGCAAGCGGGCTACCAGGGCTCGCCACTCATCACTGCGCCCCAAGTTAACAGAGCGACCGTGATTTCAGCTAGCTGGGCATGGCTGCCTGTCTTCCCCCAAAGCAGTGCCACAATGCCAGGGGAACGTTTCCTTCACGTAGAGGTGTTTCCATGGAGCTCATCCCCAAAGTGACCTTCTCCTCCCAGCTCAGCCCAGCCGTGGGGCGTGCAGGGGGATCCAGCCAGACCCTGCCTGCTCATCCAGCTCAGAGGCTGGGAGATGGAAAGGTCACCCTTTCCCTCCCGCAGCAGAGCCAAGTGCTCTCTTCCAGCACAAGAGGATTCCAAGAAGTGTTAAAACCAATAAAAACTAAGCAAGCAAAGCGAGGAACGAAGCCCTTCTTACGGCACTCAAGGACACACATTGCTTGTGTGCAGAAGTACCTTCTCCTGCCTTGCATCGCACCCCTCCACGGCTCTGGCAGCAGCTTTGGCAAGAGGATGCTTCACCGCCGCCGAGGTACTGCATCCACTGAGCTGCAAAGGATGTCTGTGGCCATGGCCAGGCAGGAGGGCATGCACGGTGGCCTTGCCATCGGGTGGCAGAGCCCAGCTTGCCGCCTCCACTCACCTCGCTCAGCCCTCCGGGGAGCTGAGCAGTCACGCTTTTCCCTAGGTAGCTGGCACACCACAAGAGCATCTCCATTGCCAATTAGGCCACCCACCCACTTGCATCCTTCCCCAATACAAACCCTATTAGCAATAAACAAACAGTTGAAATGCCAGCCGGTGCCTGGGAAGGGCCCTAGACAACTGCATCCAATTTGCGGGCGCGGGAACAGCTGCCTCATGCAGTCCCCACACAGGCAAGCACCGAGCATGGACCAGGACACGGGCCGGGCATCCCACCAGCCACCCTGTGGTCCTCCTGCCAGTGCCTGGCTTGCAGGCCAAAGCAGTGCTACCTTGCTGTGTCCCCAGGCTGCTCTCAGCATCACACCAGCACCAAAAGCCTCAGTGTCCACACAACACACTATGTTGGCACGATTCAACACTGCAATAAGGGGCTTTTCCAGCTGCCTAGCCCTGAGCTTCCTAACTTTCCTTCTCTGGGCTTTTGTAGGAAAGCCCCTGCTTGACACTGACACCCAGTTGGACTTTGCTCAAATCCCCAAGCTAGATGTGGCATAAGAAATGCAAAAGCGACCCAACATTGCTTGGATGTCTTCAGCCTCCGTAAGAGCTCCCTGCAAGGCAACATGAAGCCCTTCCTGCACCCTGTCCCCAGAGCCCCTTGACTCAGTCAGACCCCAGACTGAGAGCTGGGGAAATTCAACCCACCAACAGACCCTGAAGCCCAGCCTGCCGCTCCAGAAGCACTCCTGAAACCACCACCATCACACCTGAACTCACGAGGACACAGGACAGTGACAGAGATGACCAGGGCCAGTCTCCACATTGATCCCAGCATCTAAGGGCTTTCCAGCTGGCCAAACCAGTGCTACAGTGGCTTTTTTTTTGCCATGAGGGGCAATTAGGAAAAAAATGACCTGCTGCTGGGCACGGGGTCCCCACTGCCACCTGCAGTGAGGGCAGAGGAGCCCACATCCCCCTTCCAGTGCAGGAGAGGGCATGCTCTCCCCATGCACCAACCCCTGCCAGCAGCTGAGGTTATGTGGATGCAACCACAGTTCATTGTCATGGAGACAAGAAGCCTTTTTCTCTCCAAACCCAGCTTAATGGCATGGATTAAAACCTCCTTTCCCCTAGGAAGAGCAGAACAGGGGCAGTTTCGTTGTCCCTATGTCCCCGGCTTGTCCACACGCACCCCAGGCACCCCTACTCTCACCATTGTGCATCCCCCACTGGCGCCAGGCACATCCTCCCAGCCACGGCCCGCACAGCATGGAGGTGCCTTTCATCGCTCCCACACATGCCCCAAACCCATCCCAACCCATGTCCACCACAGTCCATCAGCCAGCAAACGCGCACCCCACTACAAATGCATCCCAGACTCAAGCACGTTTCCATAAGGCTCCCCCACATCTCTCCCCTCCAGCAGGTCCCAAGCAGCCAGAAGATTGACACTGACCATTTCTTGCAGGTAACCAAACCCGTGAGCTCTTCAGCAAGGCAAAACAATGAGAAAGCATCAACGCTGCCCCTTCCCTGGCTCCCCAGGGAGTGAAGGAGGTAAGCAGAGCCAGGGAGCGATCCCTCACTGTGGGGCAGGCAGGCATGGAGGGGACGGGAGGAACCAGCTACTGGGATCCTGGGGAGCACAGCAGTACTGGGTGCCAACCTTGGGTCTAAGAGGCAGGGGACAGGCATGGCCTGGAGGGGAAGGATGGCGTCTTGCTTACCCTGACAGCACTCCCAGGACAAGGTTGAGGACAAAGAAGGATCCAATGATGATGAGGGGGATGAAGTACAACCAGTTCCAGGTGGCTCCTAAGGCATCATTGGTCTGGAGGGGAAAAGAAAAAACATGTGTGACGTTATGTTCAACACCAGCACCCGGGGCAGAGGGAGGGTGCGTTAGCTCAGGCACGGTGACGATTCTCCCTCCAGGCTGACCACGCGAGGCTCCTCGACGTGTTGTGGCCATGTCCGCCAAGCCTGAACGGGCACCAGACAGCTGCCTGTGCAGGCAGGTATGCCCAGATGGGGGCTCCCAGCTAGCAGTGCCCTGATGCCCCTCTGCATCCTACCCCAGCCATGCTCTCCTCCACGGTCTCCAGCCCTCATTGGGCAGGACCACTCTCCTCTGCCTCCTCCTACCATCCCTGCAGGGACACAGGGGCTGCAAGACAATGGTATAGTTGGAGGTGCAGGGCCCTGCGGCCCAAAATCGGGGTGCTGAGAGCACAGGGGCCACCCTGAGCGTGCTCCCCCCAGCAGCTTGATTTGGTGTTCGCCTGCACATCCCACCGAGACAGGGCAAAGCAGCCTCGCAGCAGCAGCACCTGCTGAGCATGGTGCAGGTTAAGAGGGAAAGATTTGTAAGGTGCCTTAGGGCCAGCAAAGCTGGCAGCTAAAGAAGAGACAGAAGATGCTTGTCCTTCCATGCACAGGGGGAAAGGGGCTGGTGCAGACAAGCCCCACACCTTCAAATGGGCGTTTTGCTGACGGCATCATTGCTAATACCTTGCAGACACCCTCCTGCCCCAGGTGCGTTACCCCAACCCCAAGGAGCTGAGAGCGGAGAGTCACTCTAACCACAGGGCAAAGCCCAACAGCTAAAAAGGCTGCTGGCAAGCCTGCTCTATACCTCCAGACATTTATTCACTGAGGCTTTTAATAAAGCAGTGCCCCTCTGTACCTCACAGCCACTTCCCGGGCCCCATTTGTCCTCTGGTGTCAGGCACAGCGCACATGACACCGGGCTGGAGGGTGATGTGGCAGAACGTGACTGTCTGGGGGAGGTGGTATCAATCTTGTTGCAATGAAAGACTCTTTCTCTTTTCTCTCTCTTCCCCCCTCTCCCCATGCTAATTAAGCCCTCATCTTCGTCTGAGTCATTGGCACCACGTCTCCCGGTCGGCCAGTGCAGGAGCCAAGACAAGGCTCTGAAAGGGGAGAAGTGCATCTCTGAGGGGGAGAGAAAGTCACCACACTGGAGTTTTCCTTCGGTGACCAAGGCGTCAGCAGGAACCTCAGCCAGGTGTCCCCACCACCCTGACGCTGAGCCCAAGGCAGGAAGGGCGGTGCCAGCACATCCCGCTGCAGGCACCAACCACAGCACCGGGAGAGGGATGCTTGTGGGCAGACCCCAGTGCTGAGGAGTGCCTGGCACACAGCAACAATAAGGACTTTGAGGTTGGGGAAAGCATCTGGAAAGTCTCACCACCCTCCTCCTTTGGCACCGGGGAAACCACGCGTGTCTTCTCAAGGTCCTGCACCTTTCAAGAGCCCCAGTCCACCACCAGCCCCTTTCCTCAGGGCCATGGGAGAAGCACATGCAGGGAGGTGGGAATGGTGCATGGGAATCCCGTATAGCACATGCTCACCACCGCCCTCCAGAGACACCCAGGCCACCGCGCTCTGCTCTGACAGCACCATTTGCCATGGCATTAGTCTTCAAGGCATCATGGAACCCCTCAGCCCGAGCTTGGCTGGGCTTCAGCTCCCCAACAAGATGTCATTGGGTATCTGCCACCTGTGCCAGGATCACTCGTCTTTGAAACTGGCTCTTGCCCCAAAACCATGGGCTTTCCCCAAAGTCCTTGGCACAGGGGATGCAAAACAGATGAGCTCTGTTCCTACAGGTGAAGAAGACATCTTCCCCCAGGGCTGGGCCATCACCACCCCTTCTTTGGCTTTCTCCCCTCCAGTGATGCGCATCAGGAGATGGAGTGGGAGACAGGGATGAGATGATGGAGCAGAGGGCAGTTTCCCTGGGGTTATCAGCCAGCGATACCAGTAGCAGCACCCAGACCACCTCTTCCCGCTGCAGTTTGTGGACATGGCCAAAGCTGGTGGCGCCAGGGACCCACATCTGGGAAAGCTGAGGCAGGGGCTCGGCAGGGCCCTGCCAGGACAGGCTGTCTGCGATCTCCACCTCTATGTGCATTTGTGTACCCAGCTCCCATGGGGCTGAAGGTAAAGGGGATTAGAGAGATTTTAGGGGGTTTTGGGCGTTACGTGTCCAGCACTGCCAGCAGCCAGTGACTCCAGGAGGGGCACTGCTGGGCAGGTGAGAGGTCATGAGGAGCTGTGGCCATGGACCCCACATAACCAAGGACACACCACTGACCACAGCAAGCTCAGGAATGGTCCCAGCCACCCAGGATGATGCCAGCAGGCTCAGGAACAGTCCTGCCCTGAGCAGCCACACGGGTCCCCTGGCTGGTGCCAGCTTTGACAGGACCCTCCAGCCCCAAGATAAAATTTCCCAGGGCACATCCCAATGCTTCCTACAAAACCAGGAGCTGGTGATGCCCAGCCAGGCTGTGGTGGCTCCAGCCCATCATCTGGTACCTGCTCGGCCACTTCGACTGCCAAAATTTGCCCTTTTATTCCCCAAGGAGCTGGAAGAGTTGCTCCAGTACCTTTGCAGCACCCAGGCTGCAGAGGGCCCAGCTGGGGGGACAAGGGGGCTTGTTTAGGAAAGACAAGGGGCCTGGCATTTCACAGGCTCTGCATCTTCCACTGCTTCTCTAGCCCGTGGTGGAGAGCATGACCACAAAGCATTCAGGGCAGCAGGACATCAGCACGGAGAACAACATGCGTGCATGCACGTGTGTGCATACACACGAGTGGATGTATTCCCATCTCTCCATTCCCAAAGCTGAAGCACATCTGCCCAGGAAACCAAAGGAACTACAACACCTGGCTGCATTTGCCTGAGAGAGGATGCAGACTGACAGGTTCTCACAGAATTGCTGAGTCCAGACCCCCTTGCATCATGCAATCTCCCCCAGACTTTGGTCAACTTTACCTTAAAAACTCACTATTCCCACTGGAAGGCTCCTCAAGCAGATTCTCTAACAGCTGCTCTAATTTTCAGCCTAAATTTATTTGTGGTCATTTTATATATCCCTCTGTTCTTTTACCAGCATTGGCCTTTGGCTGAAATACTGTTTCCCATCCTGATGTATTTATAGATAGCTATCATGGCCATCCCCAGCCTCTGCTTTGCTAGCCAAAGCAAGCTTCCTCCAGTTCTCTCTTGTATGACTGGCTATCCCTCCCTATTTTATCTAGTAGCCCCTTCCCTGCTCCAGTCCAGGCTCAGTTCATCTTCCCTGGATGCAGAAGACCCAAGTAAGAGGTCCTAATGCGTCCTACTCCACCCCTGCACGATGCTACCAAGACTTTGCCATCCTGCCTGCAAACCTCCTTGCTCCTCCAGGGCACTGCTGGCCTAAGGTCACCCTGCGGTCACTCTCTCATCTCATCTTCCTCCACACTTCTACTTCCCAATCAGCAAGACCTGGGCTCCTAGGAGATATCTTTGCTGTTCCTCAACAAGCACATGGCTTTCCATTTCTCACTGCATCCCACATCTCTTCCTCCAGCCCTCAAACTCCTCCAGCTCGGGGTGGCAGCCTCTGTCCCCTCAGCTCCGGGAAGCTAGCCGACGCTGGAAGCAGGAAAGCCTGCAACTCATCCTCGAGGAGCCCCACCAGTCGCCACCAGCCACTATGTCCCCTCAACACCACCCAGCGCCATCCCAGCACTGCTCACTTCCCTGCCAGCCTTGCAGAGCTCCTCTTCTCCTTTCCCTCTTCGCTGCTTCATTAACACTTCCCCATAGCAAAAGCTTTACTACAAAGAGCAGCTCTACACGTTTCCAGGTCTCTGATGCCAGGTTAGCCTGGTGTGACCTACCTTTGGCAAACCCACGATTCATTTTCCTCTTTTGCCTTCCAAATCTGTTCTGAAATGGCATGCAATCGAGGTCAGGCTTACAGTCCTATTCCTGCCTGCCTTACTTTTTTTCCCCTCCTCCCCCCGCTTTTAAATATAGGCATTGCATTCGCTATTCTCCAGTCAGATGGTGCCTCCCCCAACTCGATGGAGTTGTTAAAAATACTTGTTACCAGACCTGCCATTTCATGTGCCAGCTCCCTCCAAGAGCAGGGAGGGGGGAGAAACCATCCCGAGCGCAGGACTGATGGGTACGATGGTCTCGGCACTTGGCTTCCACATCAGCTGTGCTCGTGGCCGTGTCCTCATTCCCACTATCCAGGCTTTTTTATGGCCTCTGTCTTTGTGTTGACCAAAAGCCAGGGTGAAATATCCATCTGTGCCCAAATCTCCTCAGCTGTCACTTCACTGTGCCTTGCTTCCATCTGCAGAGGTGGGGAACCGCTTGCCACTGCTTTGAGCATCCTTCATGAGGTCCATGTTGGCATGACTTTTGGCAGCTCCCGCAGCACTTCCCAACTTCTTCAGCACCAAGATGTAGTTGTCTTTACTGAGCAGCCCCTTTTCCTATCCCTTTGGGGCATCGTTTGTTCTTAATATTGCTCCATAGGCAGTGGTTCATCACCTTGGTCCACTGTGCCTTCCCACAGGTTTTTTCCCCTTTGCTGAAGGTACCAGGAGGTCGTCATGTGCAGAAGTCAGGGTAGACACAAGGAGTTTAATCCCCAAATTGCATGAATGAGGTAACTCCTTTATTGAAGAAATTCCTTGCTCTTGCCCCAGCCTCGCAGCAATGCTCGGCTCCCTGTACTGCAGACCAGGTCTCATCGCTCACCCAAGCCCTTTGGGAAACAGAGGAGCTGCCTGACGGCTGACCTTTGCTGCTTCTTCCCTTTCCTTTAAGACAACCACCTTTTCGTTACGCACCCCACCACCCAGGCTCTCCCATGGCCACCAGACCAAGAAACACATTTGCTACTGCCCCCAGGCATATCCGAGACACCAACACAACCAACGTGATCTTGTCAGTGAAGACTCGGAAGCCACAGCTTCCCCAAGGGACTACATACCCAAGGGTGTTTCTCACGCCAAGGC